TGATACGCGCGTATGGGGGTGGTGGTGGTGGTAGGGGTGGCCCGGGGGAGAGGGGGGGGGGGTTGTTTAGTATTCGCCATGACAAAGTTTATTAAAAGACAGTTTAAATGCTAAGGTAAGTGTGATTTTAAGAATCAAAGCAATCAAATATATCCTAATCAAACAACAAAGTCTAGAAAACAGTAAGAGGGTGGGGTGATTTTTGCAGTAAACGGTGCAAAGTTTAATAATGGACACATCTCCGAATACTACCGTACGACGACACGTGGTTTATGACGTGAAGTGCAGATTCAGAATGAAGCAAATGGCCCAGGGTAACATAGAGAAACAGTCGTTCCATCGCCCTTTCCTGAAGGCAGCTACTGAAAGGCACTCAATATAATGACAATGCGTTTTCTTTGAACTGTAAGAGACTATTGGATAAGTATGCATTTCTTTCAGTATATTACAAGTTATTAAAAAAATTAACGAATAAGAATTCAAATAGTCTTTGCCCAAAAAAGGAATTATGTAAATAAAGAGAGATAACTGCAAAATCTACAAGAATCTTGCATTGAAACAGTTAAGTTTCTTGGGAGCGATGTGATGGGTTTTTTTTTTTGGGGGGGGGGGGGAGAGAACAAGAGGGCGGGGGGTGGGGGAGTTGTATATAAAAAAAATAGAGCCGTGGTTCAGTATTAGCTGAGTGGCTACTGGCCCAGAAGTCTTGACGGACGGAAATGGGGGGGGGGGGGGGGAGAGGGGGGGGGGGGGAGGGTCGGGAGGAATTTACCATGGTGTCCAGGTCTGCCCAGTCTCAAATGAGTGCTTTGTAAACTGAAACAACCGTCGCTTATGATGATTATACACACCGTCCTTTTTAGGAAGAAATGTTTCGTTATTTGATACCCCACCCTGGCTTACCGGGGGCCCCAATATAGCAAGACCATAAATATGGCCTAATGGCTGAACGCAGTTTCTGTGAGCTCTCCTAGGTGATCCTCATCCACATGGTTGCACTTTGTGTCATCGGGTGTTTATCGCTTGTGTGATGTCCTGGTGGGGTAGAAAGTCAGTCAGTCAGTCAAACAAACCGATAATCTATAGTTATAAAAATTTTAATTTTCCGAGTTTGTTAACTGTAGACTCAGAAACTACTGAACCGATTGCTTTCAAATTTTCACACAACGTTGCCTTTGACTCAAAGTGTGTTTTTTGTCAGATAAACGCACAAACCACGAGCGACGTAGCTCCAGAAATGGTCAAATCATTATTTGTTTCGCTGCCGGTCCGGATTTGTTTTTAATTGATTGGCATTTTTGACTGCTGAGCTCTTTTTGAACTTTGCATTAGTATATAATTTCATTTTCACTTTACACGGAGAGTCTCTGGTAGCGTAGTTGTAAATACCTGCCTATTATGCGGGTGACCTGCGTTCGATTCCCCGCTAGGTGATATAATTTTCTTTTTAGCCCTTAAGTTGGCAGCTGGCACATTGGCGTATTTTTCTCCACTATTCTTGAGTATAGTGTACTTTTTACTATGGGTTTCATCACTGGTTAGGTGATGAAGTTATTTTTTCCATGTTGGGGGCACAATTAAACTAAATAGTCCGTGGCGACAGCATGCGGCGTAACTTCTCTGGCTACACCGATCTACACAGACTGTAGTGACAGTTTTGTTTTTGTTGTTTTTCGTTGGGATGATGATGGTGGTAGTGGTAGCAGATGTACTGGTACTAGATGGGTGATGTGGTAGCTATTACACTGGCCACATTTACTTCTCAGTACAAATGAATGCTACCCATTTTAGTCTGGGTGGACACGGATGCCATGCTCAATTTAGTTACAATATTTCGTCAGATGATGACTTTCCAATCCTTCGGAGAGGATGATATGTTTGGGGGAGGGGGTGGGTTGGTAAGGGGGGTTAATGCCAGACACTGTTAACTGAGAGATCTTGCAGCATTGTTTTAAAGTTCTCATTTCTTAACTATTTATATTTTAATAATTTCGCCATGTGATGATTTTTCAATCCTTCGGAGAGGGAGAAATGAATGGGGGGGGGGGGGGGGGGTGTTATGCCAGACACAGTTAGCTGAGAGAGCTTAAAAAATTATTTTAATGTTCTAATTTCTTAACTATTTCTATTTCAATAATTTCGCCATGGATGATTTTTCAGTCCTTTGGAGAGGGAGATATGACTGGGTCGAAGGGAAAGGAAAAAGGGGGGGGGGGCTGGATATGACAGTCACTGTTAGCTGAGAGCTTTTTACTTTTTTCTCCATTTCACCAATCTGGGCCATAGCAACGCGTGGCCGGGTACAGCTAGATATGCATAAACTTGATTCAATTCGTAAAAAAAAACATTAAAAAAAAAAAATTTTTGAAAACAATTAATAATAGCCTAAATTGTTACATGTCACGTCTGGTTCATTAATTAAAAACGAAATTTAAAAAGTATGCCTATCAAAATGATAGCAACTGTGTTGGCTACAGCGCCTCTATCTTATGTGCACTTTCTTATCTCTGACATATGAGTATGCACACAGCGGCCGAACACCCTGTCAGGAGTGTCAAATGTATAATTATTAAAAATGTTTTCCCCCTTTTTAATAATATAATAAACCAGGAGATGGTTACTGGCATTAGGGTTGAGAATTATTTAAGGTACTAGCATGTGGAAATAATACAAGGACATAAGAGTGCATGGTCATTAACAGCTCGCTCTTTAGGCAGAACAGTTAAGGGGGCCCCGTGGTGCCTTCTCCATGACCACCAGCAGCATGACGATGAAGGTAATGGCGGTGACACGGGCTTTCATGTGGCTGGGATCACAGAACTATTCTCGCGTATGTCTGCTGAGTGATTCTTTGAGTATGATTCGGCGGGTCGAGACAGGCTGGTTACGCAGACAGTGACTTGAGTCATTGCAAACTTCTCCTGTGTGTGCGGTTACTTTCATATTCGTCCCAGGGAACGCAGGCGTTGTTGGTAATGAAAGAGCTGATAGACTAGCAGGCACTGCATCAATTGAAGATGGCCGGCCCATGGATCACGCAGACATTGTCATTGCCCTTAGTGAGATAGGACGTTCTGATGATTTTTGAAGCAACGTGTCCACATCACTTCTAAGTAATTGGGAGTCAAGATCGGCACAACCAAGCACGAGAAGCACATCGGACGCACACGAAGTCTTGTTAACCAACCTAGGACTGGTACTATTAACCGCACGACGCTGCACCGTAAGGCCACTTTTTCCGATTTCCAATTGCCAAGAGATTTTTTTACGTGCGCAACAATATACATGGGCGTCAGATCTTACTACCCAGAGACCAGGGCATAATTGCTAGACGTCTACGTGAAAAAAAAATTCCAGCCTTAACCAGGGCCTAAAACCAGGACCTCCAGACCTCCAGCACTTGAGGCGGTGGCAGTGCCTCGAGACCACTCAGCTGGGCAGCAATACCTACTGCCATTCTGTGTCTAAACTTACAATATTGACAGATCCACTGGCATCAGTGCAATCTTTAAGAACTCACAATAATGATACATATACAAATATGAAAAGGTAAAAAAAAAAAAACATTCTAAAATTGACAGTTCATCTAAAGAATAAATGATGCCAAGTCACTACAGCATGGATACCAGCACACAGAGGTATACATTTAAATGAAAAAGCTGACCAAGCAGCTAAACAGGAAACAGATAACAATACTATTGTAGAAAAAGACTTTGGCAAGTCTGAATGGGACCTATTGTAGCCTAGATTGCCGTGATAGCAAGAGTCATTATCAAACACTCCGACTTCATGTGGAAACGAACCTAAGACATTTGGGACAGCAGGTGAGCGTCTATCCATTACGTTACCGCAGGTCTTGATGTGTGAACTTAAACAGAAAAATCGGTTTTAAGATATGTTTGTTACTTTTGCAATAATTAGGTATTGAACACTGTTATTTCAGATATTATTACCAGCCGTGGCCGCTTGTTTAATCGTCACACCTACAAGATATGAAGTGACCCTGCATGTCATTGGACGTGGACAATGATCTATACCCGAGCTGACTCTACCAGAGATTAGTTGCGTTGGGCAACGACATTACAGCACTCGTAAACTCACATAATTGATCCGCTGCTATCTTTACTAGCCAGTCCAGATTTCCAGTTTCGATAAACCGTCAGACGGCATATCCGTTTTGCCTTCCCTCTCACTAAATCCAAAGTTATTCAATGGTTCTCAGTGTAACACGATCTGGTCATAAAGTCATGATCGTTACCTTCAAAAAATCGAGTCCCACCTACTTTCTTTAAGTCTACGCGACCTGTCATACGACCTGTCTTTGGGTTACGGAAATAACAAGTAAAAATTTCAAAACTGATTGGGGGGGGGGGGGGGGAGAGAGGGGGATGCATGTATCAGTACATTGTCAGGAAGCCATTACAAAACTTGGCTTCCCATATTGTACCAATGTCAGCGGCCGAATTTCCACGTTGGACATGATTTAATGCTGAGCCAGAACATTTCAAGCTCTTAGCATTGGCAGGCAGCTGGTCTAGGAGAGAGGCGGAAACAGACATTAGACAGATCAATGGTTTGCTGATCCGGTAGCGTCTGTAATTTGCATTGACCTAAATGTATCATTTTAAATTTCTATTCCGATAAAAGTAAAATTAGGGTGAGAGAGAGAGCGCGCGCGAGAACGAGAGCGAGCGAGCGAAAGAGAGAGAGAGAGAGAGAGAGAGAGAGAGGGGGGGGGGAGAGGGAGAGAAAGAGGTCTACAATACTGCTAATTCCCTCAGGTTAAAAGTTAAGAAGAGATGAGCTAGGATAAGATGAGATGAGATGAGATAAGCTGATGTTGAATGACTTGGTAGAGAATGGAATATTTTCAAGATTTATACCGTTTTATTTTCGTATCACTAATACTAATTTTCTTGCTACTGTGAAAGTTCCTTTTCAATTGTTCATTTCTCAGACTGTTATTACAATTGAATGCTTTCAACTGTGGTGATACCGCTTTAATTCTCTTGACTACTACAAATGTTCCTAATATTACACAATTTCGTCTTGCCTTTTATAATCCTGAGATTATTATTGGAACCCACATAAATTATGAAGTTTCCAACACAGTTAATGCAAACTAGAAAGTCTTGAACACATCCAAATATCGTTTGCATGGTGAACTCTTGCAATACGGGCTGAAACTTTGAAGCAAATTCAAAAACAAAGGCAAAGCCACTACAAACGATAAACAACACACATATACTAAATAACGTCTTGGTTGTTTTCGATACAATGGGTCTTGTTAATTTGACTTTACTGGCGATTAACATCTTGCGTCTGTTGGTAATGAAGACCACTTGGGTTCCAATAACAACACAGCCAATCATCACCAAGCTAATGGGAATTATTCCTGTGGAATAATTGAATATACTATCTATTACCTCAGTAAACTGGCTTCTGGGGTCGCAAACATACAGATCTGTGGTTGCTATCTCACCAACACTGACACCATCAATTGAAGTTTGCCGAAACTGCATGCATATAACAAAGGTATAAATAAAATACAATGTAGCCAAAATGTAAATAATGATGACTAAAATAATTATACGACAGGGAGTTAGGATAAAATAAACTCTAAGCGGACAGAATATTGCTAACAAGCGCTCTCCGGTTATCAGAATAGGAATTAACATTGAAGCCACAAGTCCAGTTACTGTAATATATAAAAATATCATAGCTAAAATATAACACAAATAATTAATTCTTTCAGAAAACATGAAAACTTGTGGTTCATTCAGGTTATAGATGTACACAGGGAAGTTATTTGTACCCGTTAGAACCAGAACATCAGAGAAAGCCAAACACACGAGAAGTACATTTGAACATTTTCTGAACCCCTGTCGAGTCAGTATACGAATGCTGATGACATTGCCGACTATTCCGACCACGCTGATTGAAGGAATCAGTGCATATCGAAGAACCTGGTATACTGTGTGAGAAATATGCCTGGGAATCAGTTCTTGAAATGGTAATTCATCATAGAATGGTAACATCTCTGTCGAACTGATGGACAGCATGGTATTGTCAAATTAATTATATATAGATATCACGGAAATAATAAATGCGTTTTGATCGTTTTATTTACAGCAACTCAGTCTGTTCTTGAAAAAGTTCTCGAAAAAACAATTCGTTCTTAAAAGTAATTCTCAAAACAAGATGTATCGCCATAACTGACATTCAGAGTGAGATCAGCATAGATGGAGTGGCTAAATTAAATCCTTTTGCCATGTTCTATTTCTAACTTTCGAGTAAAAACGTTAAAATACTAATTTATATTTGAGAGTAATCATCTTAGACAAACTGGTCGGCATTTTTTTTCTTTCCAATGAAGATCAACATATTCTGATTCGAAGTTGATCACCTGTCACTAACTGCATTGCTGTAGAATTTGCCTGCACGGTTTTCTTACAGAAAAAGTTGTCTTGTCTGAAGTGTAAGAATGAGTCTTGTTAGATAGTTATATTTTTATCCCCTGTAGGTAGAATCATCTCAGTTGCGTTGATAAGGGACGCTGACCCAATCTACAAATGTTCCATATAGTCGGATGCGTCATTCAATAGGAACAAATATCGCAACTTTGCTGTTTCGGGCACAACATAGTTACGTCACTCAGACTAACGAAAATAACACATCGCTCTGATCTTCATAATTTTCTTTAAGAATGTACCCTTTCACAACGTGCAGGATTGCTTTAATGTATTGTATTGTGGAAAGTTGTCACCTTAAATAACAAATGGTATAACTGAAATGATCATATACTAACCCTGCGTTACGATTGCGACAAAGTAAATAACAAATGGACTGGTCAGAAAAAGATACCAAAAATATATCATGTGTTTTAAAGCAAACAAACGCGTGGTGATTTGCTGGGTCCTGACTAAGTCAAGTCAGCACACAGATAATAATTTTGATTATCTTCAGATGAACATTGCTGAATTGTCTGTAAGTGGAACCGTCTTACTGATTCTAATAGATAATTTTTTCTCTTTCTTTTACCGAAATATACTGCGTCTGTCTTTCCGTCTCTCTATGTCTCTCTATGTTCCTCTCTGTCTGTCTGTCTCTCTAGTTTTCTCTGCAAAATAATTATGATTACAGTCCAGAGGATAAAACTATCCCATAGGGCGAGACTTTTTTTGCAGAATGGGTTGGGTAGCCGATTTTCCAGAGTATCGCACAAAGAACGAACTATGCAACTTCAGCCATGATCTCCGGTGACCTCTGCAATTCTTCTGTACTTTTGACCAAACGAGAAACAAACACTTCTGCGAAAGGAACCAGTAAACTTCAGATCGTGTTGCAGCTAGCTTGACTACTTCATCACTGCATAGGTTCTGTTTGCCAGCTGAGAGAGTCGCATAAAGCAGGAGCTTCTACATATCCAGGGTCAACCCTAGAGATCGTTACAAAATATGTACACTATTGAAAAAATAGCGGCGCTCCAAACTAAGTTCATGACACTTAAGCGCAATGAAAAAGGCTTAGCCACTCCGCGTTAGGGTTAACAGGTTATTTAACCTTAGCGACAGGTTTAGTGATAAGTCGAGATATAAATTATTATACACATTGTTTGTTCCCAATTACATTTGTAATTCAGATGCCTCTTTTTCCAGTCAGAAATCACTATTAAAGTAATTGTTTTACTGTGAATATAAGAATAAACCTCGTCCTTAAGTTTGCTACATCTGTAATATTTTTGTCGGCAAATTAGATAATCAAAGATCATTCTATTTTCTTCATAGAGCTGTAGTCAGCGTATTTTAGAATATGGGTAATGTTAATGAGTGCTGGCTTTGATAAATTGTAATTTTCAGCGATTCTATTTTCAACATTAGTCTACAGTTTTTGACGAAGTTAATATCCTTGGAGGAAAGAAAGTGTCGGTAATTACAATTTTCTGTTTAAGGTTGGCGACTGATGTAAAGTGCTTTGCCCTCTCAACCATTCTTGCGCAGATTTCTGTTCGTTTAATTCTATGATGGTGTGAATCATTCTACGCCTATGTAATGATTTTTGATTGCCGCAACACCACGTTCAGTTATTACCTGGAATTAGATGTGTCCTGAAATCGGTCGAATCTGAGGGAAGTTTTCCACGTATAAGCCAATTTATTGTGTCAAATAACTTCACAGACTTGCATCCGTTTATATTTAAATACATTATATTTTTTAATATCAGGGGAGGGGGTGGGGGGATCTGCCTCATAAAGCGTATGTTCAGTGCCAGATAAAATTAGTCGTAGTGCTGTTTAAGGAGAACAAATAGACCTTGTATAATATTGTGTCTGAGATTAAAAAAAAAAGAATAGGACAGGCAAAAACTGCATTTTATAAAATGAAGAACATCTTATGCAATATATCTCTGTCACTGATGTTTGGAAAAAATAATTCTTACCTGCTACATACATCCAGTTTTAACTTATGGCTGTGAGTCCTGGACAATCAGTAGGCAGGCAAAACAATTTCTTGAGGCCTCAGAGATGTGGTTTTACAGAAGAATGCTTAAAATAATTTGCACAGCCAAAAAGAACAACCAAGAGGTTTTGAAAGAGGTGGAGCCCAAAGACAACTTTTCACAGACATAAGAAATAGACAGTCATTATTGTTCGGCCATGATATTAGAAGAGAAAAAATGGAGCATGTTGTGACCACTGGAAAGATATGTGGAAGGAGAGATAGAGGAAGACAACGAGAGAAGTTTCTTGACAGTCTTGTTGCATGGCATAGAGGTGTGTTAGCACACGAACTGACACACGCTGCAGGAGATCGCAGATTGTGGAGAGGCATGATCGCCCACACCAGTCGGCAAGGCACCAGACGATGACCATGATGATAACTTTGTGTAAGACGAGACATACATCAAAAAATCTTTACATAAATTTGATAACATTCCGAAACAAACAAATATATTTGTAACTACTAAAAGCGTCACTTTTCAAGTGAGACCCATTCCGTTAAAAACTAAATCAGTTCTTCAGTTTTACAATGCGCGATTGAATTATTAAGGCATGTTCCGTCAGCGGTATGCTTGAGACAGTGCTTTTTATATCTAAAGTGCTGCTTCTTATTTTGGATATGTACACATGTGTACAGAAGCCAAAGACTTTGTCGCTGTACTCTCAAACTCTTCGTTTTTCATGAATAGAGCAGCGTGTCCCAAACGTTTCTTGGCCAAGGTCCCTCTTTTAAATGGAAAATATCACTTAGCGCCCCTATCATCACCATCATGTGCTGTGCCGATAAGCAATGACGGCCAGGATTCTCTAGGTCAGTGCTCTTGTCCCACCCCACGTATTTTTGAAGACATCAACGTATAGTTTTTTTTTTTTTTTGCTTAATCTCTGAGAAATCCAATCACTCTTACCAGTTGTCACCAAGTTTTTCGAGTCTATGCCCTGACTTTAAAATGTACTTTCTGAAATGGAACAAATGGGATGATGTACCAACAATGTATGTCATACAGGTCGGAGGGTAGATTCCTCCATTCCGTTTTATCCCATGCAATCTCTCATATATCATGAACGAAATCCGGTCTAGCCCCTTTGCCCTCTTCATTTATCTGTTGGGGGAATTTCTGCCCGCTTCTAATCAGTATAAGTCCAGTATATAGGCCTCTTATTATGTTTGATGCAAGTCGACTCTTTGCTGGCTAGTAAAGAAGGAGACGGAGAACGTGTTCCCAGTGCAGTGATATCAATTCTTGATTCATTCATTCCTTCAGTTTGTTTTATATATGTTGCTACCAGTAACTGTAAAAAACATTTCTCTAATATCCTCACCTCTCTTGAAAATATCTGATTGAATGATTGTCAATTTTCATTGATATCGCCAACTTCCCCTCCCCCGACTACTCCCACCAAACCGGTGCATTTAACTTTCGATGTCTCTAGCTGTTCTAATAATTTTCTGCAAGTGTTAACCATGAAATAATTATTAATTTCAACTGAAAATATATAACTTTGTTAAAGGTATAAACTATTCAGTGTTCCACATTTTATGGAGTTTTCAAGAGTTTGGAAAGCATTGAAAATAAAAATAAAAAATACAGACACATACAACATATCTACAATGATTTTTGTCTTTATCCAGACAGTAAATGATTTATGTCGCACAATGTGATTGAATAATGCCATATAATGATAAAGTATTGTATGATGTTACTGATAATACAAGTGCTTTCCTCGCCAATGGCACTTAGGCCATATGCTGGTAGACCCAGAATGCCATGACACAATTACTCACATGTTGAGCTGCAGGTTTCTATGCAACTTTATCTTATCGTTCCTAATAAAACTGATTCATAAGGTCGAACGGGATTGTTTTCATTAGCTCGTGTTGAATATGCATCAGATTTGCAGCTATTCAACTCATATCGAACTCAGAAGAACTCAGTAGAAGTTTACCGAGCTATACTGACATATGTTTTGTCACAAAACTCCGTTTCCCACTAAATTATGAGATTATTGAACAAAGCCTGAACAGTTGCACTATATACTCTTAATGACTGTGTTATACTTTAAATACATCATCGCCATCATCAACATCCTCAGTATTTGTATCATTATCATCATCACGTGCCTTCTAGCAATCGTAGGCAATGATGTTTAGCTATCTTACGTGATTACCACAAGCACGGATTAGAGTTCTTGTCATGCTTTGTCCTTGTGACAAATCCATACTAATTGTATTCCCTTTCCCATGCTCTTTTCTTTTCCATCAGACTTTCCAGCCGTAACCAATATCTGGAAGCTATTCCTTCTTATAAAACAATGTTTAAGAAAGTAAGAGTAATGATCCCTTTTTACGTCTTAGGCGCATCGGGCATATGGAAAGAGCACCTTTATTTTTACAGAAATATCGGCACTAGGTGGGTGATGTGATCAGCATTACGCCGGCCGTCTTTATTTTCCAGGGACAGCCATTCTGGTACCTATTTAAGGCTGGGTCTACCTACGCCCCACGACATTATAACAATCCACGCAGCCAGCAGTGGGTTTCGTTCGCGGTACGTTGTAATT